GGGGTCCCGTCTCCCCGCCGGCTGCAAGTCCTGTGCCCTTGGCCGCAGCTTTGGCCTCGCTTGTTGTTAGGAATAAGACTGTGGAAAAGCAGCGCAGAAGGGTCTCTTGGTAGGTGTGGGGATGCAGTTTTACAGGTCTGTCTCTTGAAATCTTTATTTTATTTTACTTTTTTTTCCCCCCAAATTACAAAAACGTAGGACTATCTGTCTGGTGACGTATGTGGTTTGGAAAGAGCCTTGTATTGCTTCAGAACTGCAGATAAATGATGTCCGCATCCTGGGTCAGGGTCATGCTTTCTTTTATAGGATATTAAAAATACTGACTTTGTTTTTGGTTTTGTTTTCCTGATAGCTGCTCTTATAACAGTATTAATGTTTTGGGTTTTTAATACCGAATCATGTAGTGGCAAGATGAAGTAATAAAGTTTGTTAAAACAAATTTAAGTTTATTATGAACTGTGTATTCTGTGAGGATTTGACCTAATTTGGAAAGCTTAGGGTTTTTTTTAAATTTAAAAAGTAAGGGAAAATGTCAGTTAGAAACCATCCAAACTTTCAGAGCACAACAATAGTTACAACTCTTGTAGCAGGAAAACTATTACTTTTAGGAATTGCTTTGATGAAAATGTTCTGCTGAGAGGTGCTGAAATAAATTTCCTTTTTTGAAAAGAGGATTAAACTTCTTTATCACTGCTTTCTTGCAGTTTAGGATGGCTTTTGCTCACTAGAAAAAAAATACTGTTTTCCTGTATTGCTCAAACTGCTGAGTTCCTATCTTAATTTTTGACTGCAGGAGGTGCTTGTCCTAAATTCTTAAGAAAAATGTTCTCTAGTCCTTTACCTTTGCCCCGCATGGGATTTAGATAACTACTATCTGGAAGCTTTCAAATATGTAAACTTGAACTTACGAATTACTTGTGGGCACATGTTTTACCTTTTTGGTTTGAATTCAGTATGACAATTTTTTGTTTGTTTGTTTTCTAGAAACATACCGCTTTTGCTACCTTTCCCAGTGAAAATGCAGCTGTGAAGGTTTGTATTGAGTTTGTTATTGAATGTTTTAGCAAAGCACTTTTCTGAACTGCCAGTTGTGCTCTAAAATGTTTTACATATCATATAGTACTCAGTGTTGGGGAAAAAAATGCAGAGCAATGTAATATGAGACTTCTGTTTCAGGAGGTGCTTGGAGGATTTGATAAAACGAACACTTCTGTAGAGTCGTAAGAAAGGTGGGTTGGAAGGGGCTTGTGGAAGTCATCTCATCCAACCTGTCACTTAAAGCATGGCAAACTTACATGAGTGAGACTGATCAGGGCCTTGTCTAGGGTGTGTGTGCATTTATATAGAAACTATAAACCAAATGTAATTTGTCTCCTGCATAATTGCATATTTGCCATAAAATTTAGACATAGTGATGTATACAATTCAAGACTGCCTTCAATGCCCAACTTTGATAAGAAAAAGAAAACTACTGTGTTAATGGGGGACATGGATGCCAAAAAGGTAATACGAATAACGCTTTTTAAAAATGAATCTGGTGAAAGGCTGTGTCCTGAATTTCCCTCTTATGCCCTGGTTTTTTTGGTGTTGCTTTTATTTTTTTTAGGCCATGCTGTAAAGTACTACTGAAAAAAGTTACAAAGATTATGTGAGGTGAACAGTGGTGAATTTAGGTTGCTTTGTGTCAGTTGTTAGCAGCCTATCAGGATCTTGCAGAATGCTGGAGCTTCTTAGTGTCACTGTTAAGAATCTTAATTTTAAAATTACCAGGTATTACTAGTGGACTTCAGCATGTTTGTAGTTCATGAGCAAGAGGTTGGTTACTTGAAATCACAGAGATTTACTAGGCTGTGTAATAAGTGTCATTGTTAAGGCTGCAGTCTTGCTACTGTGTTCAGATGACTTAAGTCTCTGCAGTGGTTCTAGCTGTGCAACCTCGTCTTTTTCCTTCCTGCCGGCAGGAAAGAGGCTGCTAAAAGCAGGGCTGTGAAGGCAGGAACGGTGCAGAACTACCTGTGTCTGTAGTGGCACAGACTTAGCTTAAAGCAGTTGGGACTGCATGCTATGGCTAGTTTACCAACCAAATTAAAAACAGTTATGCTTTGAAAGAATTCTAATGTTTTTCCTCTTCCCTTTCCTTCTTTTCTCTATTATAATTATTTGAAGGCTTTGTCAAGACTGCATCAACTGAAACTTTTAGGTCACACCTTAGTTGTTGAATTTGCGAAGGAGCAAGATAGTGTGCAGGTACTTAGCCAGCCTTCTGTCTCAGAGAAGTGTAAAAGGTATGTGCATAATAATTTAGTTTCTGTGTTTGTGGTCAAGGAAAGGAAGTTCCATATTCATGATACTTTCATAGTACTGTTAAGTCAAAGGATAAATTGTAACCATTTAAAAGTGTTAACAGGCAGGTTCAGATCTATAGGTAAGTGACTGCATTTCTCCCATTAGTATAGTTTCATTCAGCATCATCATGAAATAATTCCCATCCTTATTCCTATAATTGTTAATATCTTTAATCAGCAGATGGTCCTGTTTGTTCTCATTTACAGAGCAAGATTCCAGTCTGCGTAAGCTGACCTCTGTGTTGCACAGGTTCCCTGTGTTTAAAAAAGACTCTTCTACTTTTTTTTTTCCTGTCAGGATTATCATTTTCTTTTGCTGTTAAACAGTGCATGCAATACTTTCCTGATGTTTCTTTCTAATCTAATCAAGAGGCAGAATTGACACCTGCTATACAGCATAACTGTATAAGACTATACTATTATAGCCACCGGCTTCTAAGCTGGAGCTGATTTGCATGTATCTAGCTTGAAGCATGAGCAGAACAAACATAAAACTGTCCGAGTCTCTCTTCAAATAGTTAAAGAATATGTAATATTTAAAATTAAAAATAAAAAAAATCAATGAATCCTAATGCTAGCGTGACCAAGAACTGTGATAGTTTGGGTTTCAATTGTCTGTCAAGTACTTAATTAAAAAAATAAGTTGCATAGTTAGGCTTTCAAGTTTACCTGTGTAATATATGACTAAGTGATAGAAGCTATGTGATAGTTCTTAATTAAAATCAACTATAGAGGTTTTAAGTTATTTATTCCACTCTCTGAATATGAACAGGTCAATAACTTAATACCTTTGGTTTTATACAATCTCTAAACAGCGAGTAACATGAAATAATTTTAGCTTTTTTCCTGTGAGTAGATTTAAGTCAGAAGAGTTTGAGTATGGGGAGATGTACTTAAATCTGTATAAATATTTATTTTAGAAGTCTGATTACTATAATTATCCACATGTGTTAATTCTTAAGAATTAGTAATGGCTGTAGTAATGCCATTGATAAAAGATGTTAAAAATACTATACTAATCTATTTCTTATATTTTTTGATAAGTGAGATTAAACATATTTCATATATTATGTAAGGCACTTAAATTTTGCCCTGTTTTAATTAATGCTAAATTAATTTTCAGTTCAGAAGAACCAGTGAAAGAAGAAGAGAAGAAAGAACCAAGCTGTGTTAAAATAGAGAATGGAATTGCACCCAACCATGGGTTAGTGGTTTTTTGGATCTTAATTATTTTACTCTGTTATAGTTTATTTTGAAATAAGTGTTATGCACTTGTTTTGTTTCATAGTATGCTACTGTTCTACATGCATAGCTGTAGGAATTGTCATAAAGATGAAATTTTAGTTCTTCAAGTTTAGAACCCTCACAGTTGAGTGACAGGTGCTTTGAGCCGTGAAGTTGTGGATCGCATAATAGCCTTCTAGCACTATGCATTGCTTCCTCAGGAAGAGTTTGAGGACTGGGTAGGTTGTCCTAGTATTAACAGCAGAATACTGTTGACTTTTGTTTTTCCCAGAGGTTTCTTGTTCTTTTTTTCCCCCGTTTGCATTTTTGCATACATGAAGAATAAATTTATTTTAGGGCTAATAAATCCAGCACTTTGAGCATTGAGTTTATGATGTTTGTACAGCATACTATGCTGTGCTTTTGGTTTTGGACATGTTGATTTTTTCTGTGTGCTTTAGGCTTTCTGGATGTGTTGGTACTTTCATTGTGCCCAAGCCCAGTAAGTCTGTCATGCATTAGGGGACTGCTCCCTGATGTTAAAGACATAATATAAGCAGCTCAAAACTGTTTTAGGGGAAATAATAATATTTCAGTGATACTTCACATGTAATGAATAATTAAACCTCTAGCAATCATTAATTGTTATCAGTCATTATGTGGCAATGGTGCTAAGATGTCTTGTTTTTAATCTTTTTTCCTCAGCCTCACCTTTCCCATCAATTCTTGCCTCAAGTATTTGTATCCACCACCTTCAAGTACAATTCTAGCAAATATAGCAAATGCCTTGGCAAGCGTGCCCAAATTTTATGTCCAGGTAAGTAAAAACGGCAAAAAAAGGAAGTATAAAAATAAAAACATCTCCTTTTTTCCTCTTTTAATTATCCACAAAATAATTTTTGTCATAGTAAATATTAAGTTAGTTTTCCTGTGATAGTGTTAACCAATGTTAATTTTTTACTATGTTGAGATAGTAAGATTTCGTTGACCAGAAGTAACTTACTTCATTGACGCTGAAGACTTAACTGGATATGATCTTCCTAATTAGATGTGACTTGAGTACTTGGAATTTCATTCTGAGAAGGTGCTTTACTTTTTTTCATTAGCCTAATTAGGGTGTTGCTCATATTTACCATTAGTGTTGGATCTCAAGTGCAGGCTTTCATATTGTTTAATAACCAGTGTAGTTGTGTCTTCATTAAAACTATGCTGATTTACACCTGCCAGAAGTTATCGGCTATGATACCTAGCAAGGAACTATTTTCATTTATTTATTTATTTATTTAAAGGAAATCTTATTTATCTTGAATCATTTCAGGTACTTCATCTTATGAATAAAATGAATCTTCCTCCACCTTTTGGACCAATTACTGCTCGCCCTCCCATGGTAACTTTTTTAATATATGTTTTAAGTACTGTAAAACGGATTCACAATTTAAAATGTTAGCAAGATGGTAGGAGATCTAAGTTCAAACTTCTAAAAGTTGGAGAAATCTCTAGAGGATAGCAAATACTCGTGCATTTCATTGGATAAGATGTGCATGTTACTCTTCTAAAGAAATCTTTTTAACTATACTTAGAACAAAGAAATATACATCTATGACAGTAGCACTGGAATATTTCAAACTGTTGAGTATAAAAAAAAAAGGGAGGTTATAGCATCATATTACAGATACAGGAAATAAAGAATACCATTAGCCTGTTGCCTTACAAAGATGTGTTAAGTTCTTTGATCTGTGTGTTTCTTTAGAGTTCTGATTAGATTCAGATTGTTAATGAGATTATACATTGCTTTTGGATTTAACTTGCTCTGTCTCCAGGATGTTTTTTGAAAGAGGAAGGGTTGAGGGAAACTGGCAGAGGCTTAGGGGGAGCTGTTTCTGAAGGGGAATAGAAATACCAGCTCTGTGGTCTCAGTTCTCTGTTGCTGTGATAGAGTAGTTTGACTGCTAATGGAAGACAGAGCAAGCGAGGACTTGCATGAATAGTGATAGCTACAGTATTTGGATATAGTGAAGTTGTGCTCCACTACATTTTGTGTTTGCCCTAAGAGAACACCTGCTTCTAATAACAGGAGAGCTAGCTGGTAAAGAAAACCATGAAATAAATCTATCAAATAAATGAATTCACACTGATTTTATGGGAACAATTTTATTCATTGCCTGATATTGGGCCAGGTTAAGCACTGTGAATTTAATGGTTGTGCAAAAAAGAGTAGTAAGGTGAGAAGCCAGTCCTTGAAATTCCTAGAGCAGTTTCTAAAGGGCACAGAGTATTTCTAATGCCAGAAGACATCAGTGCCTCATGGAACTGATGGTACATAAAAGTAGCTATTAAGTGTAGTAAGATTGTTGAAAGTGGGGCTGGAGATGATTTTGTACATAGGGAATTTCTTATATATGGGTTTTGCAGTCTCAACAAAAAAACTGATTCCTTTTGTGAAATCCTCACTCCTTACAGAAATAGAAATGTAACTTTGATAGGTGGTGGAAGGTTCAGTGTAGAAACTGAGATGGCTTGGGGAGAGTATGTTTTGACCATATTCTTCTCAGGAAAGTCCTTAAAGCTGAGTGCAAAGTAAAAACCCAGGGTCATGGTTGCTGTTCTTTAACTCCTCAAATTAAAAGAATGAAAACATTCATTGTTACGCTTCAGAAAATAGCAAATTCTTTTTCTTGTGGAAAGTTTTAATTAGTAATACAGTTTAGCAAAATAAACATACTTTAAAAAAATGCTTCTTGTCATCTTCTGATTTTTTGCTTTGACTGTTTTTATTATGTAAAGGAAAACAAGATATGCAATTTTTTTCTTGAAATGTTTAGTTACTTTTTTTTTTTTACTTTTTCCCTATAATTAGTATGAAGAGTATTTACCAGTGCCTGTGCCACCTCCCCCAATCCCACCTCTGCCTCCTGAAGAGCCTCCTTTGCCTGAAGAGGAAGAAGAGCAACTATCTAGTGGAGATGAATCAGAATATGAAAGTGATAATGAGGAGGAAAAGGAGAGGTATGCATTTTACAGTCATTTGCAAGCTTTTGGGCTCTTTTAAAGTGGTGTGTTTACTTTTCTAGCTTCTAATTCAGCAAATGGTGGAATCTGTTAATGTTTGCAGTATATAGAGAATCTTTCCAGATGCTTAAGGAAGCTCCAGAGTGACTTAAAAACAGAAGGACAGTGTTGTTTTGAATCACAGTAAGAGAAAGAAAATGGCAAATGGTATGCAAGTTATCATTTGTTCCCATGTCCAAAAACAAAAACCCAACAAAACAAAAACTCAGAATGAAGAGGGAGTGCAGATATAAGGAAGCAATAATTAGTTTGTTTTCTGGATTCTTCATTTTTCCACATCTTTACTGAGTAAAGTACTCAGCCTGAATCATATGTGCATTCTGACTTGCAAAACGTTCTTTGTATGTCAGTGTGTATTGCTAGGAGTAATAATAATGGGAGGTTGTGTGTGCTGAGCATTCTCTTGCACTTTTGGGACTGAATTACATCATAGCTGTTTTTTTGATCTTTAAACTAACACTAAATGAAGCAATTTTCTTTAGTTGCTATTTAAACTGAAAAGTAAATCAGAAAGTCCCTATGCTATATTCAGAAAGAAAAATACTTGCATTTGGAAAAAGGGACTTCTGTGGAGTGGAAATAGTATTATAAAAGAGGGTTCAGCTTGGGGCTTCTTAGCATTTCTACAGCTTCAGTGTCCTAATTAGGTGCATGCTTGGGGAAGTAAGGGTCATCATTGAGCTCATTACGATTTTGGTCAGTCACTTAAGTGCACTGTGTATATCGATTTGCTATGTGTTATAGTTTATTAATGTAGTTTTGATCTTAAGGTAGCCAGATTTATAACCATATTCTGAAAAGTTGTATTTCAAGGGCTTTAAGGAAGGGAGGAGGGTTTTCAAAATGAGTATTTTCAAATCAACTGTAAACCACTTTGGTTCTTTTTTAAATTTTGTTTAAAATAGAATGACCAAGTTGATGGAATTAGCAACCCTTCAGCCTAAAAGACCAATAAACACAAAGAGGCGTGGTGTTAGAAAAAAGCAAAGAATTAAAGACTTATTGAATGTTCCTGTGTGTACTCCCCACAGGTTTGTATTATTTCTGTGGTTTTTGCACTTTTTCAGAAGATTATTCCTTTTACTAAATAACGTTCCCTGTATCGTGTTTGCTTTAGTGTTGCTGTTTTAAACCAAGCATTCTTCACTGGTATGTAAATTTGGTAGTGGAGTTGATCTTCCCTTATCTTCATGCTTGATTTTATTGCTCTAAAGGTCCAGATTTTTGTGTAATTTGAACTCAAGTCTACTCAACAACGTTAATCTGTAAAGCGTGCCTGGTTCAAGCTCTGTGTTTCTCTTGCTATCAAACTAATAAAAATCCCTTTTTCATAAAAAAGAAAAACAATTTCATATCACAGCCCTGACAGAAGCAATCTGGATTTATTGTTTGGGATACTTCTTAAAATAAAAATGTAAAGTAAAATTAAAAAAAAAGGATGATACTGGGAGAATAAAAACTGATTTGGTTTAAAATAAGTTTGGTTTTTGAAACTGCAGTACTATGGCACAGTAGACACCAGTGTAGCATTTCTGTGTAGTGATGATCAATTGTGAATGCATTTTTACTAATAACCTTCCTCCTCCTCCAAGTGATTTGCTACATTTTTTGAAAATTTCGTATGTTTTATACATTATGTGAGAGCATCAGCAAGGCTAGTTATTTTTTGTATTTAAGTTACTGGTAAAGTTTTTCATAAGTGCCTGTCCATACTATAATATGGCATGTAATTCTTGTTTTTGCTCTCACTGCCAGCCAAACCTACTGTATTTGCAGTGTTTTAATCAATTTGAACTGTATTGGGTGAAATTTATGAAATGGAGAACTCATGTATTTGTGGTAAACAGCAGCATAAAATCTATCTGGAAGAAATCTTGTATTTGACTATGCATTCATAAGTGTCTAAATCTTTAATTAACATGTTGTTGTTTTAAACAGTAATCTGCATCCTACGCTGTCACCTTCAGATGTCTTTGAGCAGCCACAGCATGTAGGTCATAAAAAAATTGAGTTCCATATTACTACTGACATCCCAGCTGTTCTTCAGATAAACTCGGAAAAAGAAGAAAAAAATGGTAAGAGACTTCATACTTCTAATGTTTTTAATACTAAATTCATGCGGTTTCAGTGTGTAGAAGGCTGCTGAAATTTAGGCCAGGGAATTCTTTTCTTTTGTTGGAGCTTTCATAAATAGTATACAACAGGGTTTGCTTAAGAACGCCAACTTGCGTCTTGTTTGCATTTGCTGTTTTTCCCATGTTAAAGCACAGAACTACGTGCTTTGGTACAGTAAAGGATCTAGAGGATTTTAAAGGTCTCTTTCTTTCCTATGTGATCTGTGGGTTTATGGTGAATTGCACTCTCTTTTCAATGTTAAGGTATTTCTAGCAAATGTTACAAATGCATTCTCAATATTATATAGTGTAATTGAATATATCAGGCTAATTTCAGATTTTCCTTCTCCAGCTCTTAGAGAGCAGCATTCAGGTGATTGCCATCTCCTTCTCTGTGATGCACTGATTATCTGCTATAAAAATGCTGGGTGATAATAGCAATGAGGTGTGATGGTTTCTATAGGGTTATGGTCAGTCTGTGTTTCTTGGTACTTTACAGCAATATACAGTTTCTTTGAATGGAAATTAGATAAACCGTTGAAATGGATACAGGCTTGAACAGCAAGGCTAGTTTTACCTTAACTGGCATGTGCCATGGCTTTTATTTGTAGTACGGTTGATTTTATAGGACCATATAGAGCAGGTGTGTTTGTCAATCCAGGGATTAAGACACGTTTCTTTAAGGATGTGTTCAAATTGCTTTACAAAGTCTACTATATTAAAATGTTACTGAAAGTACACTTTTTTGCTTGCTATTGATCCTCTTGTGAATAAACATACAAACCACTTACATAATGTGTTGAAATTTCAGACCTTTATGCAACCACAGAAGAAATCAATAATACAGGCTTTGGAAGGATTTTCCCAGCTCCCAGCTCAAATGATAAAATGGAAACTGAAGAGGAGGATGATGAAATACCATCAGAATTTATTTCTAGAAGGGAACTAGAAAAAAACAGACTTTCTAGAGAAGGTATAACTGCGAGGAACAAATTATCTAATAATAGCTCTTTGATTTGTTGCAACAAATAGTTTAAATAAGTATTTCCTTTAATTGATCATATATTAAATTTAGTTATTTTATACTGAGCAAAAATACAAAGTAAGTGAGCTAAAACATTGTCTGTTTTTCTGTCTTCTTCAAGAAATGGAAAAATTTTCTGTTTTCAAAAACTATGAGCCAGGTGATCCAAATTGCAGGATATATGTGAAGAATTTAGCTAAACAAGTTCAAGAAAAGGTAGGTAAACAAGCAAATTAAATATTTATCAAAAGGGCTTTTTATAAGCTTTCCTCTTACACCTACTCTTTAATTTCAGGATCTCAAGTTCATTTTTGGAAGATACATTGACTTCCAGTCAGAAGTGGAACGAAATATGTAAGTTAATTTGGTACTTGGTTAAAATTAAGCCTTTTATGTTAACTTCTATAATACTGGTGAAAACTGTGATTTAAAAACTAGTCATCTTTACTTTTTTCTTTATGCTCCTGCATAAAGAAAAAATGCATTTCATCTGAAAATCTTCATTTATCACAAGTACAGAAATAGAATTATTTTTTGAACAGTATCTGAAGACCCTACTATTTTCCCCTTATATTTTCGTTACCAAATTTACTGTTTATTGGCTGAGCGACACAGAACGAGCGGTGTAGATGATTGTGTGTATCTGATCATTTTGCGTATGTCATGTTTACTACAGTTGCACACCAATTTGCCATCCTGCAGTCTAATGTCACTTTTTACTAAATGGTTCCCCCAGGCAAAATGGTCTCCAATGACATAATTCCTGCTTGTAGGCTCTGCTCCCGTTACTGCTATTTCTCCGACTTGAAGCATGAGAATTATATTTGTACTGTGAAATATGAAAGTGTGGTTAAACATGAGTAATTCCCAACTCTCAATTTTGCCTCTAGGTTTGATATACGTTTGATGAAAGAAGGCCGTATGAAGGGACAGGCTTTCATTGGACTTCCTAATGAAAAAGCAGCTGCTAAAGCTTTAAAAGAAGCAAATGGATATGTCTTATTTGAAAAACCCATGGTGGTTGTATCTTTTTCTTCAAACATTTGTTATATTCTTTGTAATCTGTCCGTCAATATCTAGTTTTGCTGTCATAGTGTTCTACTTAGAAATTTATGGAAAGAGGAAATACCTTAAGAAAACCAGGCAGCATAGGCATAGTGTAATATTGTTAATTTTATGATAACAGAAAAATATATAGAGGCACCTCTTCTGAAATAGGAAAGTAAATGTGCTTAATTTCAGACAATAAAATTGTCTTCTCTGGTCTTAGCTCTTTGATCCTGCAAACATAGTACAAAAGATAATTTAGCTTGTATGACCATTGTATTTAAATTAAGTAGGCTTTTTGATTTGGTTAAGCCTGTGTTTACAGAATTAAGAACATAAAGAAATGTTACTTTCAGGGTCAGTGATCTCTATTTAGACTGCTTCCCCAACTGGAACTGTCAGGGTTTTTTTTGGGCCTGTGTAACATACTGGGATTTCTAGACTTTTTGATTGCATTGCCCTGTTTTTTGTCTATAAGACCTTTCTTATTTTTCACTTAAATCTTGCATAGTTTATTTCCTTTTCTTTGTACTCTTGTTCATCCCAACCTCTGTTCCTTTCAGCTTTTTTCCTCCCAAATACCTACTGAGACATCAAAGTTATGGAATTAATGTGCTGGGATGGAGGATTGTAAATATCAAGCATTTATCTTGCTGTAGTTACTCTGTTTGCACCTAATCCATTCCCGGTTAGTCCACCTTATTTACTTAGTATTGTAAATTCTTGGACAGGCTCTCTTAAAATTTTTTTGTATTGCAGATCAGTGAGGTCCTAATCTTTGACTAATAGACACTATTGTTATGATATTTAATACTGTAGTAGAATTGATTCACAGATTAAGGCCACTTTTTAAACTATCTTTTGCTGAAATAATACTTCTTTTTTCCTTCTTGATTGGCTTCCATTTATCATTGACACTTGTAGTCCTTAACAGAATGTCAGCAATTTGCTCGTTCAGCTAGACCAAAACAGGATGCCAATGAAGGGAAGAGAAAAAAATAGAACACTGCACAAGGTATGGATTCTCTGCCTGAAAATGAAAATAAAGAAATAAGCTGGGGTTTTTTGTTCTTTTTTTTTGTTGGGGTTTTTTTGTTTGGTTTTATTTATTATGTTTTTAATGGCTTTGTCAGGAATAGTGATGGTGGAGGGGAAATGTTTCATACAATTTTCTTTTCTTAAATGTGCACTTATATCAGAAAACCAGAATGCAAGGTATATAGTTGGTGTAAGTTTAAAATGTTGCTTCTTCCTCTGTTTAGAAATTCAGAAACTGCCGTTTCCCTAATCCTGATATCCTAGTGTAGTTGTCAGTTTCTCTAATCCTTAATCTGGGGAGCTAAGGAGAATAATTCTGTGGAATCGGACCACTTGCTTTTTAGTAATCTTCTGGGGTTTTGGCTTTGAAGAGAGTTGCCTCTTTTCTCCTTCCCTTCCATCCCCGCCATTGTAAAGTGATCCTGAAGAACTGTTTCCAGCAATAAACTCACTTCTGCTAGGTCTGTAAAGGACCTTTGGCTTTGCTAACTTTGGAGAATGAGATTAGTGCTGTTGCAGCATCCTTTAAACTTGTCTAATTTAGGATATTGTGTCAGGAAGTGCTACTTAATGTTGCATTGATTGAGGCTTCCTTTGTTGAGGAATGCACAACATTTTTAGCATTATTGTCTAAACTTGATGGGGAAGTAACTTTTAGCAGAAAGTAATCAGTATTTAACTTTATTTCCTATCATATAGCTTTACTTCACTACTGCTTACTCTTAAGTATTTGCTTTATATGAGAGTAACTCAAGCAAAATCAGCTCTAATTTAACTGTGAGGGGTTTCATGGCCTAAAAACATCTGAGTAGTGAACTGTCTCAAATTAGCATGTGAAGTAACTGGTGCAAGAATTAGAAACACTTATTTCTCAATCTGCACCCTCCAATAGATCAGCTAGCTCAAATATAAAGGGCATTTAACTTAATTACAGATTACGGTTGGACATCACTCTGATTACGCCTCTATCCAAGACCAAATGAACTCAGTGCTTCTGAAACATTCTACTTAATCCATGATGTGTTTTTAATCTGGATGTTTTGATCATTGTTACTTTGGAAAAAACTGCGAAGTTTGAAATAAAGGTTGTGAACAGCTGTTTTTGATTTTTAAAAATTGGTTGAGACCCTGTAGTATGGTTATCGTGAGGGTAGTATTTCTATTTATAACAGTTACTTCAATTTTAGGTTTTTTCTTCTGTCAGTTGTCTAAGGATTTTTTCATTAGATTATATTTGAGCTTGTTTCGCTCATTTCTGAGATGCTATTTGGTCTTACCAGTTCCTATTTTACTGATTTGTGGTTTGCAAAATCTGTATTTTATTTTATCAAATTAAAGATCACTTTTTTACAGGCATTCTTCTGTATTGGTCATTGAAAAGAGACAAATGAGCTTTGGCTAAAGTATTCTATTAGGAACAAGGGTTTATGGGAATGTTTCAGTCTTGTTTCTTACTCCTTCCTTGTTAGAAAAAAACTTACATTTGGATTATTTTGTCCAGTGTCTAATAAGAAGAAAATTACTAAGGTTTCTTTAAACGCAAAAAAGAAACTTGAAGTATTTTAGCTATTGGAAAGCCTTATAAATGAAGTTTGAACACTTTTATTCTTTTAGGAATTCCATGTCTTTCCAACTAATTTTGTACGTTCAATCTGATTCTGACTTCACTAAACGTGCTAAATAATACTTGAATTACGTAAAGAAAATAATGAGGTGCTTATTTGGTTATTAATCATGTTGATGGTCAACTTGGAAGCTTTTTTTAGAGTGAGCAAACACTTACGCAAGACTTATTTGTGCACCTGAAAGTCTTACATGAGTTTCCTTGGTGTCATTGGTTTAATGTATCATGGGCAGAACTTCCTTACCTTGACCATTTATATGTAAAGGTCACAGAATGTGCCATGGACTAATACAGATTTCTAGGGATCCATGAGGTTTAATTAAAAATATTTTTCATTTCCCAACTAATGATGAAACTGAACCCTATTTCTGCATGACTGTGTTTTCCTGTTCCTGCTGGAATATTCTGATGGATGCTGATTTATGATGCAAAATTCCATGATAGAAATCTGAGTCTATAAGGAAGAACAGTGTCAGAATCTCATTTGAAACATAAATATGCATTTAAACAAGTTTATGCAAACATTTGAGGGACTTCAAATTTGATCTGTATCCTGCGTCTCAATGTTGTTGTTCGTTTTTTGGCGTTTTTTAACAACTAAATTGACATAAATTAAACTTTTGATTATTTTTAAACAGGAAGAAGCTGTTTTAAATTCATGAATGTTATTGCAAATATTTTTATTATTTTTTAGTATTTTCTCTACAAAGGTTTTATCCTTTGTAGAGAAAATAATACATACGGTTTATAAAAATACTATGTAACTCCTTGCTGACTGAAATGTCTTTTTCTTGATGGACTGGCAAAAAATTTCAGTTAGTACTTGGGGTGACTATTTTTTCTGTAGCTAAAATACAGCTTTTTGGGAGAAAATTTATGTAGAAGAAACTGATGTTGAGAGGTCTCCAGCTTCTTCATAGGGAAGAAGTGACTTGAAAGCCTGCATTGAATGGAAACATGATTGGGTTTTGGACCTGATGGAAAAAGTGAGTCTGTAAAATGGCAAAGACTTGAAGGAGAATTAATGAGACAGAAAAATCTGGTGTGGTCCTAGTAGTTCAAGTTATCAAAAAATGTATTTACTTTTGAATATGGAGTTTAGTGTTGGTGGACTCATCAGCCCTTATTAAATCTCATCAGGGGTCAAAACTGTGTTTTATCGAAGAGGCATATTTGCTTTTGATAGGTAGCATAAAGTTATGTGTATGCAATACTGAGAATCAAGTAAAATTAAACCACATTCTGCTGTTCTTCTTTAGAAACATTCCTGCGTAAATACTGCAGTAATACTGTCATGCAGAGTGTATCCTTTCTTGTTGTATCCTTTTTTTGTGCAATGTTTCCTGCAGCACTCGACTACATCTAAGTTTTCATATAGAGTAGGTGTGGGGAGGAGTTTACGTGTCTTAGAGCTTGAACTAATCTGGTAATTTTACAAGCAAAGGGCACTTTTTCGGGGGGGGTTGGGGGGGGGGGGGGGGGAATCAATGAGTTGTCTGTGTTGAGTGAATAGACACAATGCAGGTTACTAGTCTTAAAAGGTAGCCTCCACCTTCTTCCTCAAAGGTCATATAATTTGCTAATTTGCGGTCCAATTCCTTAGCTTGCATGAGCTAGAAGTGTTCCACTGATGTGCGTGGAGCTGTGCTGAGCTCGCACTGAGGAATTCTTCTTGTTTTTCTTTAAATAAATATTATAATAATAATACTACATTAGTTAGGATATGTTGCAATTCTTAATAATATTAAAGGGTTGACCAGTATTTTAGATCATTTGATGATTACTGTTGTCCTGGTATACAAGATACAATCTGTAGTTGACTTAGTTTGTACATTCCTTACTTTTTCTTTTTTGAGCAGAGAAGAAAATCTAACGGTATCTCGCAATGAAGTATTTGGAATTGAACCATTAATCAACTATTAATCACTGCTACCTTTTTGCTGGGTTTTGGGTTTTTTTTAGATCGTTCTCTGCACTGAGGTAGTGTTGTTGCCAGTGACTTATATTTTTCTTGTGGTTTTCATATTACATTATTGTTTAACTTACTGTAATATAAAATTAATACAGCCTGTATCTATTAAGTCAGATTTTTTTCAGACATTCAGCACTTTTCTAAATACTAAGCATCTTTCAATTTAGTTGTCAAAAGAAAGCATAACACTAGTATTTTCTGATCATTCTTACTTTTAACATGCCTTTGTGATGTTCCAGGTCCCTTTTGTGTTCCATCTCTTTCAAGTATTATCAAGCTGGGGGAAGAAGCGATGTAATCATCGGGACTCTTGAACTGTGCGTAGTAGCATTTCTAAAGTATTTAAGGCAGAGTATAAATTTTCTCATCTTAAAGATTCCAGATATCTTTAAACTGTCACAAGATTTAACTGATAAATGTATGTTAGTTTGCTTGTGAAATCTCTAATAAATTATTCCTTTCTCTTCATTTTGACTTTTGTTTTGTTGTGGGGTTTGGGAGTGGGAACGGGGAGGAAGACTATTTTTTTGGAAAAGGTGAACTGTTCAGTTGTAATTGTGCAGCATGTTCTAGATGATTCAGAGTATATATTCATATGCACCTCCTTGAGTGTGATGTTTAGCTGTTAGGGTTTCAGGGTAAAAAGGTAAGAACATCTAAGGATAATCTCATTTTAGTGTAAATCTCTTTCCTCCCTTGGAGACTAAGCAGGAGGACTAGTGCACTGGCATGAATTTGTACTGTGAAATTAGGCACTGTTTTTTCCTCAGTAATTAACTTTCATCCACATCTTGAAAAATATCACTAATGAGACTAAAATCATTAAAACAAGACCAGCAGTTAAAACACTGTAAAACCAGTGTAGGTGTGGTCCTTGCGCTGTTGAACTGCGTTAATAAAAATCAATGCTGTGGAGGTCACATACTAAGATTTATTACATACTAGGAAGATTAGCATAACTTCCTAAAACCACGTGGGAAACATTGCAATGACATTTAATTGGCAAGAGAGTCCAATGGATTTAAGGAGAAAATTATTCCATAAAATATTAATTCATTGTTGATGGTGTGGTAACAGGCTGGTGTAAAGACTTTTGTCATCATTCCAGCTGCAGACAGCCTAAATCACTAGTATTGACTGCTGGACCAAAATAAGTGTATCTTTGCTGTTTTTTCAATATGAACTGGCTTAGCAGATTACTTTAAAATGCTTTTACTGACATTCTTCTTAGCTTATGTGCTGCGTTCCCATGTGGACTGTGTAGTTGTTTGTTAGTTTATCTTACCTGTATTTGGAGTAGTAGGCCAGGAAAAATACGCTGAGAAAGGAAGTTTTATGAGAACTTCTGAAGGGTTTATGATGCTTAGAAGAGAGAAAAAAGTGGCTTAAAAAACAAGGTCAGAAGGCAAAGCTTTCGTTCCCTTAAATCAACTGGTTTTTTGTAAACCCATTTCTACTGGTTGGTTTTTGTTGTGGTTTTTTTTGTTTGTTTTTTTGTTTGTTTGTTTGGGGTGGTTTTGGTGGTTTGTTTTTGTTTGGTTTTTTTTTTTTTTTCTCCCTCAGAAGGTTTGTTCTATTTGATCTGATATTTCAGGTCAAATGACCTCTATTTTTTTTAACAAGTCATTAGGTCCGGCTTCCGAGATTGCGCATAGGCAGTGAATGCGGGCTTATTTCACAATTTTTCTTTATTAGCTAATGACATATAGACACAGCAACATTTCTTATTTAATTAAACTTTTGAATATACTCATATGACTATAATTTTCAAGGTGAGGCTGACTCAGATAATCTGTCAATCATGAATTTTACTGTAGTGCTCTTGTATAAATTGACTCCTTGATATAGCAAAGATCATGTGATAGCAGAAGCTAAATTAGGTTTATTTTCTCTATATAAATATGAGTTGTGTGCCTTGTCAGAATTTTCTTTGAAAGCCAAATTCAGAAGGTTATTCTAATAATCTTTTAATTCTAAAGAGATGGATTTTTAAAAAGCATGCACGCTTCTCTAGTGTCCTTAGTGTGAGTTTGATATATATGGCTCATCTTCAGTTCGTCTTTTGAGTGCTTTTTCCTCAAAAACTTTGAATTTTAGGGATGGTAGTGAAAAGAAATTTTGGTTTTGAGAAGGTAAAAATAATGTCATCTGCGAAGTGGAGTTAAATGCATTCAGAAATGAATGGTTTCTAGCTAAATTATCCTTACGACAACAGTAACTTAGAAAATTCACTAAGACATTTCACATTACACTTCCAACTGCTTCCAGTTTATTCCTTAAATGTATCTTCCTATTTGATACAAGACTGAAGAGAATACATTTGCCATTGTAAATACTTTTGTTTTGTTAAGAAGCTTACGTTGCTACTGTTCCTATTGTAGGACAAACACTTGAGTCCTGCAACTTCTGAGTCTTTTACTCCAGCCTAGCAAGCAGCTTCTGGCATGAGATCCTTTTATGTTATATGCAGACAAATATTTACTCTAGTTGTGGTTTGGACTGTTCCCAGAGAAAAGAAACCTTATTCTGATAATGACAAACTCCATTTGTTACTTTGTATGGCAAAGCCACTGTGGCAACATTAAAGTAGAAAATTTTAGTTAATCCACTGTAGCCTTCAAAGATGTGGAACCCTTCCTTGTGCTTCCACATTTTTAGTCTGTATCTGGATCACTTCACAAAGCTTTGTGACTCAGTGTATTGCACATAAAAAGGTATATAACAGAGGAAATACGCAATACGTCCTAACAGCCACGTTGAGTTACAAGTACAGAACCAAGCTATTAAAATACTGCGTAAAAGGCCAACTAAGTAAATTTTCAAAGCGGTGAAGTAGGATTAACAGCAAGGTGGTGCTATACGCCAAGACAAAGAAGTGAGATAAGTGTGTATGCAGATACTTCCTTTCTCAAATCTCGAGACAAATACATTCCAGCATGTAGTTTTATCTTGAATCAACATAATCCCGTGTAATATAAAGCTTTTAGATAAACCAGTTTATTTCGCCATATAACAATTCCCCACGGTGAGGCAGCTGACCGGCAAGCCTGGCGCGGGGCGGCGGGCGGCGCGCAGGCGGGAGCGCTGGG